GAGCCAGGTACAGTCTCAGAATGTGGCAGGTTCTTAGTAATTTTTTTTATTTGTTCCCCCACCCCAAGGCCCTCATGTGCAGGAAAGATTAGAAGCACAAAGGGAATTTTGACACATTGTCGATTTCCAGGGCCAACCCCTGCAGTTTAGGATTCTGTTCAGAGGGAACAAAAGCATAACTCAGTGGCATTTTCACAGCTTATTCCTGCCAGGTCTACTTTTTTAAAATATAAATTCAGTCCTCATTTCCAAGGAATTTGGATAACATAGCTACAGCTGACTATCTGGCGAGGCATTGCCTGTTCTATTTCGGAGCGGATGTTATCATCTTTTTTTTGTTCCTGGGGCAGGTGTGGGGATGTGTTATGGACATCCATTGCTGATTCCATGAAAGAAGTTGGGCATCAGGCTAACTGCTCCCCAGGGCCTGGGTAAAGCCTCAGAGGACAGGCTGAAAAGCATGCCGAAATCACGTCCCGGAGGACCCATTATTTTAGGGTCTATGCATTACTGCTTTCCTCCTACTGGTATGAGATGCAGGGATGTTTCTGAGGGAAACTCTTCATCTTGTGGCGCTTTCACCACTATCCAGAGCTCAGTCGCTGAGCTTAATGCTGAAGGCGTTTTAAGGACACTGCCCTCCAGCTTGGAATAGCAAGGCTGTACAAGCTGCATGAGATATGGAGATCTATCTTTGAAAAATTCCTACAGTAATTACTGATGCCAAAATTGAGGAAAATGTTGAGATCATAATTTTCTAATTTTCGTATTGCTATACAAACTGCAAAGCAATATTTCTGGGTGTACTTTGGAAGATGTATACAAAGACACACATGTCCTGTAACCTGAGTTACAGTAAAGCTACAGCATAGCTAATTATGGCAAATTATAAATGTAACTCACTGTGGCAATAATAACAGGCCATGTATGCATTATGTTAATGTCCTTTCATATGTTCAGAAAAGCATACAATTTTAAATACAAATATATACTATAAATGCAATCTATGGACCCATTCTTTGTATTTAAAAGTGTAGACGTTATTGTACATGTGAAATGACATTACATACACATACATATAAGACAAATATATGCATACCAGCTAAAATGGGCCAACCAATGAACATTCTTACAATCAAGCAATCCTCTTGTATATTTAATAGTTGACCCTTATCCATGCATAGGAAAGTTTGTAATTCAAAGTATTACTTGAACATATATATAATTTATGATGTTAAAAATCCTTATGTTACCAATATTTTTCTCCTTTAGTCTAAAAACTAGCACAGAAAGTCTCTCCTTCCCCAAAATTATATTCAAAATAATATTCTGAATCCAGTTAAGTACAAAGGACTTTTTTTTTAAATTAGAATGGCTTCAGTTATATAATGAACCCATCCATCTTTTAAGATATAAAGATATTCCATTGTGTATCCTCTAGCTTCTCGAATCTTGAAACTGAAAGTCTCTTTAAAAAAAATACAAAAAAACCCCAACTACATACACATATCACATTCAGCTGCTAATTTAATCAGTTTGGCCATAGCGATCATAAAAACTTGCTAAGAATAAAGATAAGAATGATTAAAATTTCAACTTTCCTTGCACATGTTTTTTTAATTCTTTCTCTCCAAAGAGTTTCACATGAAAAAATTTTCAGACTTTTAATGATTCATGAGTAACTTGATGCCATTGTACTTGCATCTATCAAAGGACACGTTTTCCAAAATTTCGAAAGAGTCAGCATGATTGATCAGGTGCTTTTTCACATGAGAGGCATCCCAGCTTTGCCAATTGCTTTGCCAAACGGACTAAACAAAGCTCTTGATTTGCCAGGAGGAAATGCGTCTACCACACCAACATTCATGGGTTCACGCTGGTAAGTGGCGATGATTTAAATGTACATTTCTATTATTACAAACCATTCTTCATAGCAAAGCCAAGAAGAACTCTGTAGGGGATCTTGTGGAATCTTTGCTATTATTTTTTCCAGTGCTTACAGAACACTCCCTTTTTCTTTCTTGTTCACGTGTCTTACACCTCACTTTGCTTAAAGAATATACTTCATTAGATTTCTCTTCTCCAAGGCAATGATCTACAAGGTATGATCAAAAAAAGAAAATAAATGTTTAAATTAAAAAGAATAATTATTCAGTAAAACACACATTGCCATTAATCCCCCTCAAAATGTTCCCGTTTGCTTTGACCATACTTATCCCATCATTCTTGCTACTTTCTGAAGCAGTCTGGAAGTCCTCTTTCGTGAGTATCTTTAGTTGCATTGTTGTGGCTGCCTCGATGTCCTGAATCGATTCAAAACATTTCCCTTTCATGATCATTTTGACTTTGGGGAAGAGCCAGAAGTCACACAGTGCCAGATCAAGTGAATAATGTGAATGAGGACACAACATGTTTTCCTTTGACAGAAATGGCCATACCAGAAGTGATGTGTGACATGGAGCCTTTCCGTTGTGATCACAAAATACAGTGAATGCTGCTGCCAAGTGCCATCCAACAGAAAGGCAGGGATCTTCAATACGGGAAGTGGCGCGTCAAACCTTAGTAACAGTGTGTGACAAGTTTCAACTTGTTCAGTACAGTCAGTCTCTACAGTTGAGAGAAGGTGTGTTTTAAAGTGTGCCGTAAATCATCCTCCACCATGACAAAGCTCTATGTCACACATCACTTCTGGTATATGGCAATTTCTGTCAAATAAAAACATTACGGTGTGTCTTCATCCACCTTATTCACCAGATCTGGCACCATGAGACTTCTGGCTCTTCCCCAAAGTCAAAATGATTCAGGACATTGAGGCAACCATGACAGTGCAACTAAGGACACTCACGAAAGAGGACTTCCAGAACTGCTTCAGAAAGCGGCGAGATCAAGGGAATAAGTGTGTTTGAAGCGAGGGGATGTATTTTGAGGGAGATTAATGGCAATGTGTCTTTTACTGTAATAAATATTTTTGTTTAAACATTCACTGTATTTTTTTATCACACCTCGTAAGTGTCCTTTTCCGTGTCACCCTGGGGCTGAGGGGAGTCAGAGGAGTCATCCATTTAGTTTTACTTGCATGTGAATCTCTCAGTAGTGTCTGGGAATGCAAGAAAGACCCACACGTTCACCTTAACAGACCCGTACCATGACCAAGAGGCTGGAGAATGCAGTCATGAGAAGGTACTAAGTCAGAGGGTGACAATTCAGAGATTCATGGAATTCAGAGGCTCATTGTAATCTCGGAAATTCAGAGATGATAGCAACAGGGCATTGGGGCTTCCATCTAAGAAACAGTCCGAACATGACCTGGGGATGTCTACCAAGAGAACTACTTAAGATTTCAAGACTTTCGGCAGCATGTTTGTTATCCTCTTTCATTCCCCAAAACAACTAGCATTAAAATTATTGGATCTGTGGACTAGTGTTCAGGTACAAGAAGCAGATCATCTCCTATTTCACGGTTATTTTAGAGGTGAGGAAAGGGGGGAGAGAACCAAGAAACTGAGAAGGTGATGATTCCCAGGAGGAGAGACAGCAGGTTGAGTTTTTAAGGATGTACAACAAGAAGGAAACAAAAGTGCTGGAGTAGGCCTGCAAGACCTGGGCACATAATTAACAAAATAAAAAACAAAAACAAAAACAAAAAGAATCTGCATAGCTCTTCTATCATCTCATCTAAAACCCAACAGGGTGATATCAGAACTCTTTCACTATACATTTGCCTCATATACTCTTTCTCACTTAAAAAAATATCCACATAGTGTGACATAAACTCTCCACAATTTTAAGTCATGTAAAGTACTATTCTTACCCCTATTCTATAGATGAGGAAACTGAGTTAAATAAATTGAGCAAGGTCATATAACTACCACGTGTCAGAGCTGGGGCTCGAAGCCAGTTAACCAGACTCCAGAGTCTCTGCCCTTAACCCCTCAGTTAAACTGACTTGCCCCAATGTCCTTTGCTGTCCACTATGCTACGAACTGTATAATTATCTTTGTTATCACAAGGATGCTTCATTTCTATTCTCCTGTGTCTTCCTGCCATTCTTTTCATGAATAAATGAAAAGAATCATTTATTCAAGATCATTCCTCCATGAAATAACTTACTTATCTGTCAACAACTATATATAACTTATTTTCTGCTGTGTGTTGATTTTTACTGGAGCAGTGAAAATAAGGATGAAAAATAAGAAATGCATCGTGAATGCTAGAATGAAAGCATTCAATTATAGAAAAGATAAAATTCTAAGTTCAGATGTTTATAGATCATATAAAAGTGATGGTTCTTTAATGAAAAAAAACCAACAAAAACTGAGGCACAAGAAAACATGTATGATCTAAAAGCCAGTCTCAATCATATTTAAGAATTATTAGAGGGCCGGCCGAGTGGCACGTTGGTTAAGAGCTGGCTTGGGATGCCAGCTCTGAGCAGCAGGGCCCCGGTTCGGATCCCACATGAGGGCCAGCGACACTGCCCTCTACAGCTAAGATGGTGAACAACAGCTTGACCTGGAGCTAGGCTGCTCTGAGTCACCAGCGATGGCGTAGGCTGCAGCCCCTGCTGCAGCGGGCTGCCATAAGCTACCTTGTGTGGCTAGCAGCCAGTGTGAGCGGCCGGCAGCCGGTGTGAGCTGCCAAGAGCTGCCGTGAGCAGCCGTCCAGTGGCCAGCGACTGATCTGCCTCACCCAGGAAGAGCGCAATGATAATACCAACATGGGCCAGTGAAGCGACGTCCTCCACAATTAGACTGAAGAACAAAACGACAGCAACTTGTCTGTTCCCCTTCCCCCAATTCTCCAGTGCTGTTCCCTTCGCTCAATTCCCCAATAAAATCTTTAAAAAAAAAAAAAAAGAATTATTAGAGAAAAGAGCCATTCTAACATTTGATTTTTTTTCTTTGGTTCAGATAACCTACAGTAATTAAATCCTACTAATTAACATACAAAGTCAAAGTCAACAAAAGCCCAGTGAGAAATGAAGAAAAAAATAATCTTACCTGCAGATGTGTGTTTGAACTTTTCACTTTTCTTCTTCCTCCATTTCCAAGGCTTGAAAATCCTTCCCAGGTTGGCAAACTTACTTCTCCTCCGGATGGGTGGGGTATGGGTACCTGGGACGAGGGAGTCCGAACGCATCGCCGCCAGCCTCTCCACTTCCTCAGCTTGTTTTTTCCCCAAGAAAAAGGTGGAAATAAAGAGAGAGGAAAAAAAAGTGTTCAAATGGGGGCCTCACAGATGGCCAACATTTTCCATGGTTACAGATAACAGAAACCACATGACTGAAGTCCTATTTCTCTTTCTGCCTTTTGGAATGGCAGTCATACCAACGTGCCCTAAAGGCTGGGGACAGTCAGCCAAACCTTAGGGACTTGGAAGAACCCAACGAAATTTGCTCAGCCTTAACTTGGACTTGAGAAGGAGGACAAGGAGGGGGAGAAGAAGGAACAGAGCCCTCATGACACGTCAGAGACTCCCCCTCAGGCAGGGAGGGGATGTTAGTGTAACTACTGGCCAGCAATTTCTCAAATAAGACTTGGCAGATGCAATCACTATAACACCGTCTGCTGAGGAAAGAGGGAGAAAACATTTATCAACTGTCTATTCCAGTGCCAATGCCTCCACCACCCACGACCCTCGTTCCTACTACCCTGCTTTACCCGCACCCGCAGAAGCACTCGAATCTGTCGAGAAAGGGGATCCTAAGGTTTACCTTAGGTTTACTGACCGATTTTAGAATCACTCGCCCTTTATTGGATTTTAGAATTGCCTTAATTCCTCTTGGTCATTTTGTTTCTGGTGTTTTGCTTAATTAAAAAAAAAAAAGATTCTTAGACATTGAGAGCTGAGAGTGACTTTAGGGACCATCTAAACTAATGCCAATTACTTTACATTTGAGGACATTCAAACTCATAACACCTAGTGGGACCCCTTCCTTAAAGGCCAAAATCACTGTGTCCTCTTTTATCATGTGGAATAAAACGAACTCTTTTCCAACTTACATGAGAATTTGCCCAGCTCAGGGAGGTAAATATACCGTGACTTGAATTTTTAAGATAGGAATAATCAGAGAAAATCAAAGGGGTGAGAGGGACTCGTCTTTCCAGAAAGTCAAATTACATCTAGGGCCGTGGCTGACCCAAAACCACTCGGTTGGGCCTCTAACACCATCTTTCAGGAAAATCACATGGACTTTTGTAACACAGGCTGTCCTCGGAAGCTCGGTCTTACAGCCTGGTGGCGTGCCTGCTATCACCTGAAATGGCTTTTAACTCAACAAATATATATGGAACATTGACTGTGTGCCAGGCAGTGTGTTTGGGTGACAGACGATGACAGGTAGGTAAAGATTCCTGGCAGCACGACTGAAAGGAAGTAGATGGATTTGAGACATGTCTGGGAAGCAAAGTCCAGAGGACTTAGTGACGGATTGGGTGGCCTGAGGGGAGGGAGGCAGATTGTTCCTGATGCCCAGATTCATGTCAGTGAAGTAGCATCTTCACTAATGGAAACAGGGACCATGAGGGGAGGTACAGGTTTGCAGGTGAAAGCAGCAACAATTTGGATAGGTTGCATGGTGGTGGCAATTGAACCTTTAACTACATGGTTCAGTGCAGTGGTAACTCCTCCTCTCAATCATTATATTACTATGTTACCACTTAATAGTGTGCCAGACACTGTGATCATTTCTGGGGCAGGAATGCGACATGGTTGAGCACAGAGTCTAGAGGAAGAGACAAAGGGCTCAGTGTGCAAAATTGCCGAAACAGGAAACCACATAAGATTCAATGGAGGCAAAGAGGAGAGAGCGACTAATTCAGCTTTGCAGTGTTGGCGAAGACCCCAGGGACGTAATGTTTGGCTAGTTTTTGAAAGAGGAGAAACTGTCCTCTCCACATGAGGAAGAGGGAGAAGTGGATCCCTGGAAGGAGAACAGACCCAAAAGGAAAGAGGGGACTGAAAGAGCATGGCATTCTAGGAACTGCAAGAAACCCTGTGAACCGTGAGCGTCAGTTACGCTAGTAAGATGGAGAGGTGGTAGCTGGAGGGGTCTGGAGCCAGGTCATACAAGCTTTTGAAAGGTAATATTAGGCATTTGGGTTTCACCCTCTAAGTGGTAGAAAAAAGATGAGCATTTGAAAATGGAAATTGACATTATTAAGTTCAACAAATATGTATTCAGTGCTCACTATGTACCAGACGCTTAGGCTATGTCGTAAACAAAACAGATAAAAATACCAACTCATGGAGCTTACACTGGGAGGCAGGATGGGAAGCAGAATACACATGAAAACTAAGTAAACTGTAGCGTTTGCTAGAAGATATGTCCTTTGGAAGAAAAATAAAAGTTGAACATGGTAAAGGACACCAAGAGTGTCTAGGTTGGGGAGGGCTTCAGTGTTAATTAGCCTGATTGAGAAGTTACACCTTGAGGGCACAATTAGATTTATTTCTAGGACTATCACTGTAACAGCAATGGGAACCTGAACAGGAGTGTGAAGAAACAGGTGGCAGAGAGAGTAATAAGGAGGCGCCTGCAATAGTCATAGTGACTGGAAGCCCAGAAGGGGAGTGACAGAAGGGACAGAAAGATGATGGCATTCAGCCAGGTGGTAGAATCGACAGATCTTGGTAACTTTTTGGATAAACATGAGGGAGGACAAGGAAGCAAGAATGGCTGAAGTTTTTGCTTTTCATGACTGGGTAGGTAGTGCAGACTTCCAATTTTTAAAAGAACTTTGTAAAAGAAACAGAATAGGATGGTCGATCAATGACAAAGGCGTTGTAGCCAGATAACACAGTGTTTTGCAAAGTCTCTTTAAGGGTTTGGCTTTTACTGCTTAAGGTAACGGAGAACTACTGAAGGAAAACTTGCCAGGATGGGGATGGGAAGACTTGGTTTGGTCAGTCGGCTGAGCTACAAGAACCAGCAGAGAGTAAGGGATTGAAGATGTAGGAAAGAGGTAGAGAAGTATACGAAACAGGGTTTTTAGGGAGGAGAAAGGAGGTGGGATCAAAAGTACATACAGAAGTGTTCGTCAACGGAAGGTTTTATTCTGAGTTATTGGAAGTTTGAACTGGGGCCTCTGACCACAAATGGCAGAGATGAGATGTGGGCCCCAGGGAGATTAACCTAGCAGCAGTGGGTAAAATGGATTACTGGAGGCTGAGGGAAGAAAATAACCACCGAGGAGATTTTAAGTAAGTTTGGGTTGCAGGGTGACTGAGGAGAGTAGTTAAAAAAACAAACAAACAAACAACAATAACAGCAACAGCTACAAGGAGGCAAGAGAAGGAAGTCAAATGAAGCATGTAAACAGCCTCTGGAACAACGCTGGATTTGGGAATTGTTCTCATTAAAGGGTATCAGCTGCTTATATTGGTGCTTTTTCAACAATGCTCAGTAGCTGGGTAGCCACATAGGTAGTGACAACTGCGGGAAACTGTACCAGGAGGTATTGAGTCCAGGATAGAAGCCAAGTCAAGATAGTCTAGTGATTGGATTCCCAAAAAATGGCTTTCTTTCATATCCATCCCCTTTTTCTCATTTCTTACCTTCGTTATGTATAACCTTACTATTGCTTGTCTAGGTTTTGCAAGTCTCCCAACCTCCATTCCCAACCCCAGTGTCCTGCCTTCAAATCTCTATTTTGTACTGTTGCTGGATTGCTCTTCCAGAAGCCTGCTCATCTCAGAAACTTTCAACGGCTTCCCACAACTTATAGTACAAAGCTCTCATTTCCTGTCTTGGCCTTCAGGTACCTCCACTGGAGTGACCCGCCCAGAATCACCTTCTAGTACCTCTCTTAGCACACGCTGTGGCCACGATGCAATGCTCCTGCCACAGCAGCCTCATCCTGAGGTCTGTGGATCCCAACGGGCTTCCAGGGGCCATCAAAGCACTGGAATTAAGTGCAAAATTTTGTGTATATTTGGGTATCTGCATTTGGTTGGAAGAGTTCCCATCTTTCTTTTGTTTTTCTAGTCTAAGACACAAACGGTGAAAATTTTGAAGTATCCATGTTGAGGCTTCTTGGGTTAAGCAAACCTAAAACATCTTGAGCTAAAGGTTAAACATCATGTACTAAATCCAACCCCCCAATTATTTTTTTTAATCAAGATACAAGTTATTCAAGATGGATATCAAGTTCACTCTCATAGTTGGAACTCAGTAATGATTTGTTAACTAAGTAAATGAATGAAGGCATTTGATTCAGCTCATGAAAATTGGTATCACTATTTGTCTTTAAAAAAGTACACCACTAGGACCAAAAAACTTTCATAATCACATCTTTAAGAAATGAATAAAATTTATTCTGAAATAAGCACATTAAAATAATTATAAGAAATTAGGATTGCTTTTGAAAAACCTGGAGTGGCGAGAAGCTGACAGAGCATTATAAAAGCATAATTATAATGCCATAATTAAATGAATCCTTAATACATATACTCTTAAAATCAAGCTGTTTAGCTCTTAAGTTCCCTAGATAATATTGAGCAGACTGGATGATTTCACGTTTTAACTGATTTATATTTTCATCATCCACATTACACATCTGACGGCAGGGGCGAGGCTCTCAACCTGACTGCTTGGCTACCCGGTAAAATTGAAAGGCTTAAGAGCAAAGAGGCCAACTGTGAACACACACAGTTGAAGAAAAACAAAAGGAAACAAAACTGGGTTCAAAATAAAGTGGTTGCCGACTAACCGCAGGGACATAAAAGAGAACGGGATGGAGACAAGTGGGAGAGGAAGGGCGTACAGGCCAGACATGTTTATAAAAACAGACCATGAAAAGGCTGCTGTACCCAGGCCCAGTGCTCTCAGAGGTGGCGTCCCCATGCTGCTGAGAGAGGAGACAGCTGTCTGGAGAAAATGCTCACTGAGACATGAATCAGCTTGAATGTCAACTGCCAGGACTGAGGATGCTGAATCAAAAGGTAGTAAGCTGGCAGCTGAGTGACTTCTGAGAGCTGAGGGAGAAAGGGAGGCCTGGACCACAATAATCTCTGGGGTCTTTCCCTTACCCCGCTCCAAGAAAAGACTCTTCTAAGAGACTAGATAGTCTGGGCTCCCTTTCGTGACGTGACAGGGATTTGCTTTATCTGTAGGGTGAGAAATGGTTGGGAGATGATTTTTCTTTCCCTTTAGAGGAGGAGAGGA